CCACCCCGTAGGATTGGGGGGGAATCGGCCCCCATTAGGCCATTGGCAGCCAAGGACCTCGAGAAAAAAGGTTAAGGTTGTTTGGCCATGACGAAACATGGGAATACAAAAAGCGGAAACCAAATGGTGAGATCAGGTCGGTTTTGTGCTTTGTGTGCGCTTGACCCCTTTTAGGCCTGTTTGCTTTGGGAAAAAGGGCACGTGCACCAAGCGCTGGAGGGTACCCTACTCACAATGCACAGTATGTCCAAGGCACGGGGGGGGCCTTGACAACCATAGAGCATCAGACGATTTCCAGTGGTTTCCCGTTTCTTTCGACATCCCTTGTAGGATTAGGATTTTGGGGCCACACTGTTGCGGGATAAACACACTATGTATCACCCCAGTGCAACGAAGGGTTGCCTGCATTCAGAAAGATTCCCAAACCGATTCATTCAACATGTTCTAATCTGTCCAATGCTTTGAAACTTGATTTGTTTTCGTTTGCTGATGCGGGTGGCTGGGTGGACGAATCTAATGCTTAGGCCCTTGTGTATGGCGTAAAAACATCACCTTGCAAACAAAAGCATCTTGGAGTTTCTCTTTGGGTGATGTGAGTGTTTTTCTGAGTGTACCCTTGTTTATTGTTTTGAAGGGATCCCAAAGGGAAAGCCTCTCATTTTATGTATTTGATTTGGGGGGGGGCTCCTTCCTTTCAGGCCCACCAATTCGTACAGAGGACAGGTAAGGAATGTCCTTTTTTTTCTGTTGACCCCGGATCTAAATAGAGTCCGTCGAATGAAATTGTTAGAGGATGTTGCCTCCAACAGTGAACCTCGGAAAGGGCCCCCTGATCAAAGTTCTGCCCAATCCGAGGTTCCCAACATGTTATTTAATTGCCTTTGCCAGGAGTCCTTCTTTGGGGAGCTGATTCTAGTTGGACAAATATTGGATTTGTCGCAAGAATACGGTTTCAGCAAACGGCTGCAACACGAACCGACCCCGGGAAAAACTCCAAAAAGGTACAACCTTTGATTTTTCTTGCGCGAAAAGCGACGTGAGACAGGACGAACCAAGAAATAGCAACAGAGCAAAAAGCAAACTGCAAACGGAACATGGGTGTGTGTGTGTCTGTGTGTGTGTGTGTGTGTGTGTGTGTGTGTGTGTGTGTGTGTGTGTGTGTGTGTGTGTGTGTGTGTGTTTGTGAGTGTATGCGTGCTTTTGAGGGTACTCTTGTTTGGGTGGTTTTAAATGTGCCAAGAACAAAAGGGTTCCCTTAAGAAAAGGCACACCTAAAAAAGCACAAGCACATAACCGCCAGACCCATGTGGACCCAGTTGAACCGATGTATTCGGCCAGGGCAGCGATTCAACCGGGCCGCATGTGGCATCCGGCACGGGCACCTAGGAATTTGGGGCAAAATGAATGCGTCAACTGAGTTCCCACCAACCCCCGAGTAATAGGGCTAAATAATTGCTATCAACCTACACAGGGACCGATATTATAAGGAATATGGTCTTTCAGGCACGGGTTCCTGTAGAGGTTCTATGTTTGTTGGGAGGCTAGATGCTTTTGGAAATCCAATTCTTACTTCAGGGTATTGCAGTTGCAACACCAGGCATCTTGAGCAACTCATCCCGCTTTGGGACCCCAAACTCTTTGAAGATTATCCTCTTGCTTCTTGAACCTGGACTTTCATTCTGACGTTTGCATGGTGTCCACTAGCCCCAAAACACGAGTGGTGTAGGTATACAGCGTTCCCTTTGGCATAGACGAGTGCTTTGGAGGCTGTAGAAGCCCTTGTTCCAAGATATAGTTTCCACTATCAAACCAGTCACCGCATTTAGGGGGAGGTTATGGGATGATACACTCGTTATACAGCCGCCATATGAACGATACCTTTTACAGGGTGAAGTCGTTGGCAACGAGAACAAGGCATGTCATTTTGAGCGTTTCAAGGTGGTTCTTCACTTCCTTCAGGTTATAAGGCCATGGCTGTGGTGGTCAATAATAGGCGAAACCCCAAAATGAGCTGTACTAGATGGAAAGCATGGACTAAAATCTGCGGTCCGTTTCCTGGTGGTTCCATTTGGGCTCAAGAGATTGATCGTGCCCGTTGGGCTCGCAGGTCCTCCTGCTGGCCCAGGAATTTGGTGGATTTGGCGTGCCTTCGCAACATGGGTCCCATGTTGATTTCCCTGCTAATCCTTAAATGCGGGTTCCGCATAGCTGCTGGGGAATGCACACCTTGTCACCTCCGCCAAGTGACTGTGGTTGGCGGGTTGAGAACCTGCGGGGCTACTGTGGGCGAATGCAGGCTCATTGACATGTGTGAGCTTGACAGCGCCGCATCATCGGCTTTTGTGATTCCAGCGGGTGTGAGGTGCCTTGACGACACCACACCCATTACAGAGGCTGCGCTGCCAGCTGGAACCACGCCAGACATGTCTGCAGTTCCTCTGACGTTGAGGAGTGCGACAACCTTGACAGCGTTGGCTGCGGATATCCGGCTTCTTACTTCTTGAAGCGTGGTTCTGGGATTACGACCAGTTTAATACCGGGTGTTGACTATGACTCAGTTGTTCAAAAACCGAACCTGTTTTCCCGTGGTCAGCCAAAAGGTGAGCCGTTTAGTTCCAGGTCCTGTCCCCGCGAGCATGTAAGAATGGGTGGTGACCCTGGGTTGTCTGCAATCCTGTCGTTGGGTTTTTGCGCTGCGAGTTGTGGCAAGTTGTTTTTCCTCGGGTTCCTGGGCTTCCTCGCTCAACCGCTCGGCCGCTATGACAAATGCGCGGCTCGGCTGTTTTTGAGGATGCCCCTTTTTGGGAATTAGGTTTTGGAGGGAAACCAAAAGGACAACCACTATACCATTTTGTGGGGTCCAAAAAGAAGACATCCAAGTGGCAAGGTGGGGACTTTGTTTAGCCAATCCGCTCGATCGAATGGGGATCTTTCAAAGTACGGACACCCAACGTGGAGTCTCTATTAATTTTGTGTTTTTAGTTTTGCAATTTCTTCCTGCCGGTTTTGGAAGGACATGGTCATTGAGTCATGCTAGATGTTTATCCTCGCCTGGCACCTGAGGGACCTGCCAGTGTACGGTTCCAGACCTGGCGGCCTTTGAGGGGGTGGCTGTTGCACAGCAACATTTGAGTGGGGCTAAACCAGTGGCATCAAAATGGCTGTGGGCCAAAGCCAATGGAATCCCATTTTGGGGTAGGTGCACCCATTTTAGTCGATTTTAGGGGGGGATTGGGATGTTCACTGGGTGTACGGGCTTTTGACCCATGGTCAAATGGCGCCTTGGTAAATAGAACCAAGGACTAAAACCTTCGTAACCCTAGCTCTGTAATTTTGAGCCATACCCATTTGGGTGTGTCGTGTTTTTTTGGGGCACCAAGAATTCAGTTCCCCTTTGGTGGTTTGGATTGGGATTTGAACCCCTGATGCTCCGAGGAGGCGCCAGCAAAGTCTCAACCTCAGTTTATTCATATTTTTCCGAGCTCTGTGCGGGGGCCCGGGCAGGCCTGAGTTCATGGACTTTCGTCACTTTTCACTTTTCGGGTGTGGACCTTTTTGGGGTAAAAGAGCAATGTTGGACCTCTTGTTCTTGGCCAATCCACTCAGGACGTGAGAGATGTGGGAGCCGCACTTTGGGAGTTGAAATGGACACCTGCCATTTTGTATTGCCAGACTTGACTAACCTTTTTTGATTTGTTGGGGGGTTCTCCTTCATCTTAAACAGCAACATGTGTTGACTTGTGCAGGGCTTCAGATCTGTTTGGCCAAGTCAGCTAGTGTTTGGCAAGCTTATCCTACTTGGTATGTGTTGAATCAGGTGCCCCACCTCTTTTTGGGCGTTAACTTCTGCAGGGGCAGTCGTGTGCTCAGACTCAGGCAGCGCAAAAAACAAGTGGCGGGAGCAATTTGAATAAACACGACAGGGGCACCCAGCATCCCACATGGGTTCGTCTCAAATCTCCTTTTGGTTTCCTTTTAACCCACCATGTGAAATCTCGGCTGCATGTCCCACGAAACTATCCAACTGAAAACCAGGGACGGAAGCCTCGAAGGATGGCCCGGCTGCGATCCAGGAACTTGTCTCATGCCGCAGCCCGGTGGTTTCAACGGTGAACGCGTCTTGCATTTTCGGCCTGATGCACAAAGAACAACCAACGCTTGGTTTAATGTTGAGTGTTAACCAAGGATCAGCCCAGCTTCACGGAAGTAACCATTGCTGCACAGGTTCCTTTAGTGCCTATAGACAACTAGTGGGTGTGTATTTTTAAAGGGGGGGGACCCAACAAATGTGAGTTTCCCTTTGGTTTCTCTGTGTAAACCACCAAAAAGGGGGTACCAACTCAAGCAGAGACACAGCTCGTGGCAATGGGAACCGCTGGCTTTCCTTTGATCTCTCATGTCTTGAGCTGCTCGGTGCCGGCTTCGCTTCCGATCAGAGGTTCAGTAACACACCGCAGGCCTTCAGGATTCAGGTCCCATTGGATGCGCAAGGCTCACATGTCTAACAGCGAGCTTTCCGCGGGTTCAAAAGCATACCCACGAAGGTGCTTTACTTGGGAATTGCTTAACCCAGCCTGCTGATTCATAGTTCAAACAAACCGGGCCATGTGTGCCTCGAGAATTTGGACAACTTGACGCATGCGTGCCGCGACTTCCACTTAGGTTGCCTCCAGTCCAGAAGGAAGCACCCAGCGCCGTGTTTCTCGGAGTAGGAGAACCCCTCAAAACTCGCGGAGTTGTGAACTCTTTGCATGGAATCTGAATGGTTTCTGTTATAAGTTCGGGCCGATTCTAGGCGGTTGGTTTCCCTTTGGCTTTCGTAGCTCATCCCAAGGAGATCCTCCCATTTTGCACCGCACCGCACTTAGACCATTTCAACTCAACTTGAAGCTCAAATCCTTTTCAACTAAACTCAACTCAACTTTCTCCATAAACCAGATTTACCGAGTTTTCAGGCCCCCCACTCGCTAACCGCCAGCGGTTTCCCAAGGAAACAAAAAACCCAAACCAAGCGCGCCGAACCCGCCGCCATCCGCGCGCCTTGCGGATCTCATGGCATGGCCGGCGCGGGCCCGAGGAATCGCCCGGTTTTGTTTGGCACCCTTGGCTGACTGGTTTGACCCCAAAGGCCCAAATGGAGCTTTTGGACACACGGCTTTTCCGTTAATCCTACGCAAGGTTGCCCTTCAGTCCACTAACATTGGCAACATGAAACCTGAGGGTTCTGGAAGCCTATGGTCCGTCAAGTGGGAAGATCTTTTCTAGCTAATCGGATGATGCACGGGTTTGTCTCACAACCAGTGTCCAAAATGGTTGGTGTCCCCGGGCTTTGAATACCAACAGCGGATTCCCCAAAAGCCGACACACCCGCCATGACCTTCTGTGCCATGCTGGTGGCAAAGGGAGCCTTTGGGTCCATGGGAAGGCCACAGCCCAAAAACAACCGTGACCACCATTTCATGTCCTTTTCTCTTTCATTCCCAAAAAGCACATGCCCAACAAAGGTGGCTAGCTGGTTGCCCAGCTAGCGACGTGTTGTTGAGAATATCCGTTCAGTCTTGACCCGGTGGTTTGCTGGAAGCCCAAGGGGAGCCCTTTGACCCTGCGAATCATGGGGGTGGACAGGAGGCTCTTTAAGAGGGCCGTAGCCTTCCAGGTTAAGCCAATGAGGCATGTCCCTGTTTCGTGCTCCAGGCCGAGAAAAACAGCATCGGATTGACCTTTCTTAGAGCTTCTGCGTCCCAACAGACCCTGCGCAAAAATTTGCAGGGGAGTAGTTTGGGCCTGAAATGGTTGGCTTCCTTCGGGTTTCCCTTCCAACCAGCAAAAAGGCGCGCGCGCGCGCGCGTTGCAACCACCCAGACCGGAGCAACTCAGGCTTCGAGGAGGCGCGCTCTCAGTGTCGGGGGCTCTTGTCGGACTCCAGCGGGTTGATTCTTGGCTCATTTCTTTGAAAGGTGAGGCGCTTTCGTATCCCCGAGCTATTTTCTTGATACTGCACGTGTTCTGGGGTTGATGTTGCCTTGATCCCGAGAAGCTGCGAAAGGATTGCGTGTGCACCCAGATGTTGAGGGGGGGCGTTTTTTTCTCTTTTTTTTTTTAAGTCGACTAATGGGAACCCCAACCTGGCACCTGAAAAGCATTCGGCCGTATTTGTTTCACAACGGCAAAAACAAGTTGGGTTTGAGAAGCAAACGGCCAAAAAAAGAGAGCGACTTTTGGGCACCAGGAAGTGACTACTTCCCCTCCCCCTAGCCATAGGATGGGTTCAGTCCGAAGTTCCCAGGACCAAAAGAGTCCCATGGCCACTCCACTGGAGTCCCCTGAAAACACCCCCCTGGACCCTCAAGGTTCCAACTTTGGGTTATATAAAGTTATAAACCCGGAAGTATGGGGTGAGTTCCAATTTGCACGGGTAGTTTGAAAGTCCAGGTCCCTCCCCTTTGCTTTTTGGGTTTTTGGGGTGGCAAACAGTTGGGCCGATGTTTTCTTTTCAGCCATTCGATCGGTGCCTGAGCCAAGCCCCCCAAAACAAGCTCAAGCAAATCGATCTTTCAAGTGCACTCGTAAGTCCGTGTTGGCAAATGGGCAAGCACTTCCTGGACCGCCTCCGAACCAATCCAAACCGCAAATTCGAGGAAAGCTGACACAGCCTCAGCCAAGCTCAATTCCAGCTTAAAACCCACCCTAAACCAACCCCTATATAGTTAAACCAAAGCCAGCGTGAACCACGTGTTCAACACTTGCGCCATGTAACTTCCATTTGGTTAAGAATACTTTTTCCCCTGTTGGTGTTAAAGGGAATCTATCACTACTGGAAATATGTTTTTTTCCCAGGGGGCTTAAACAAATGGAGGGTAAGAATCACCCGAGCACCAACTGATGTTGATTTCACCAAACCTACAACCCACAATATAGAGTCCCTGACTCATTGGGCCATGGCCAGAGGCACCCAAGTTTCATTTGCCGCAATGAACATGCTTTATTTCCCCTGGTCGGTTCTGAAGGGGATTTGGCCATTGGTCAAAGCCGAAATCGTACCCACAGTAAACATCCCAATCCAACCACTAAAATAGGTTCCAAGATGGGTGGTGCCCCTCCAAAATGGTACCATTGGTTTTGACCACCACAGCCATCTATCACTACTGGGGAGATGTTCTCATTTGGGCGTGGGTCAAACTTGAACCACTCAAAAAACCCAAAAAAACAGCCGCGGGTTTAGTCCATGTGTCCATTTACCAAGGTCCCATGTTGGGGGTTAGCTGGAGTCTCCATGACCCTTTAAAAATGAAGTCATTGAACCACACAAAAAAAGAGACTTCCAGGTGGTTTCCATGTTTCCATTTAGCAATGCAACCCATGTTGGGGTTAGCCGATTTTTGACCCCCACAGGCCATGTCAAAAGCCACAGGAAGCCACCAGCCGTCGCCAGGCTCTGCGCCGGGGGGCGGAGGCCTTTGAAGCCTTGCGGAGATGTGTGGAGGCTCGATGGTTTTTATTGTTTGTTTGTTTTGTTTTTTTGCGCGGGGGGACATATTGTTGGCGTTTTCCCCCCGCGGAAATCCAATTTGGAGGGTCCAACCTGAAAGACGAGCCACCCAGCTGGTTCTCCGCGGGAACCGGCTGGCTGCCAGAAAGCTTGGCTCGCGGCCCCTTGCCGCCCGCCCGCGTCAGCTTCGCGAGGCGTGCGGCGAGCCCTGCGAAGGCAGCATCATGCACACCTGGCGTGCGGCTGAGCCCGGCTGAGTCGCGGTTCCGTTGGCACCTGGCAGGAGGTCGCATCAAGAGGAACGTTTTTTTTTTGTTTTGTTTTTTTTTCTCAGGTGCCTTCCCACAAGTGCTAAGTTAGCGGGAGAGGGTAGGCGACTGGTCTTTTCTCGAGGCTCGGTACCCTTCCGTTGTTTCACGTTCTTGGGTTCCCTCTTGTTGGATGTGGAGCCCCCCTTTTGGCTGGCAACATCACGTTTTGATACGTTTTGGCGGGGTTCCCCAATTTTAAGACAAGCCCATTTCCCTGTGTGGTAGCTTTAAATCATCATTTTTTGGTTGCCGATTTGAAGTGAACCTCCTTTTGGGCTGATGTCTAAAGGGCACAATTGGGGAACACCCATTTTCGGTACAACAGGGTAGCAACCCAACCGTGCCATCTCCTCCGAAGGAAATGACAGGTCTCGGCACATTGGCCGCAACTGGGGTTCCAATGAGCCCGAAAGACGAGGATGGGTCAAGCATGAGGAGCGCTGAACGCCATGTGGCTTGCGTTTGTTGCAACCAATGCAATGGCATGAAATAGAGACTGATTTCTCTTTCATTAGCATGTAAACGGGAGCTCCTTTCCCCAAAGTATGCTACTGAAAGTAGCGCCTTTCCAAGATCAGAGCATGGACTGATGTGTCTTACATTAGCAAATGCATGAATCAATGGGGAGCTCCTTTCCACAAATGCTACTGAAAATAGGCCGCCTTTCCAAGATGAATAGCATCTCTGCAGCTTTTGATGTCTAGACCCCACAGGGGGGTAATATTTTTATTAGGTCCACCAGTAGTGCCCTTTTACCCCTTAAAAGAGGGTTCCCCCACTAAAATAGACAGAAACAAGTTGGTACCCTGATTCTAAACCTCTCTACTCAAGAACCCACAAAAAGGTCAGCCCAAGAGGAGGTTTTAACGCAATGCCCGAAAGGTCAGCCCGAAGGTCTACCGAAAATCCCCCCCGTCAAAATAGACAAAAAAGAAAAACGTTGGTACCCTTATTCTAACCTCTCTAGTGGAGGACCTGGTTCTAAGACCCATTGAGAAGGCACCATGGCACTGGACCGCCGGACGTGGCGGGACAGGAATTCCTGGGCGCCGGTGCCCGCCATGGAGGCCAAGCAGAGGACGCGCGAAGCGAGCGGGCGCTTCCGGGGGCGGCTTCAGGCACCACGCGATGGATACGACTCACTTCCCGAGGTCGTGGAGCTTTAATTACTTTTTTTAGGCTTGGACCATTTTGGTTGTAAATCAGGTCCTGGAATGTATATAAACTGGTTGGACCATTTTTTGTGGTTAAATCGAACGTGTGGATTATTTTTTGCAAATCCACTCGGTTAGCGAGTAGAGTGCGACGCTTTGATTGCTGACAGAAAGTGAGCTCAGTAAAGTGTAGCTGAATGCTGTACAGGGGTGCAGGATGTTCCATCAGCGGAGCTGAAAATGTGTAGTAGGGTTGCGGTATTTCACAACCACAAGTGAACCCAGGAACCGCCAAGCATATCCGCTAAGAGAACGTAAACTACGATTGCAATTGACAAGCAGTTCAGGCATATGGTTGAAATCTGAGTAGCTTCAAAGTGGTCAACATTTACAAGAGTGCCGAAGCTCAGTCGCTGTTGGAGGACAAAGTCAAAATTGCGCAGCAAAGGCACAGCTCGAGCTGTTTCCTTGTGTGACCACTTTTTGGGGTATCTAGCGGAGATAGCCTTGCGCGCAAAGAGGGAATGGTCATGGGCTTGTCTCAAAGGATGGGTCTTGTCTTGTTGGTTTTAAATTCTAGGGTTTGTTAGGGGTTTGTGTCAAATCTGGAAAGCTGAAGTGTATGAAATTAAGGAGTTGTAGCCACCTCACAAGTGCTTGGCACATGAATCCCCAATTGTTTGATGTTCAAAGGCTCCCCTAGCAAAACTCAAACCATCATCTGGCCAGATATGGGAACTCTAAAAATGAGTGGTTCCTTTTGGCAGCCTGAAAGCAAACCGAGTCGTCCCTTTTGCCGTGCAAAAAGCACAATAGAAACCTCGTTCGGGAGAGAGCTATGCAGGACTTATTGCCAAACATGCCTCTACCAAAGACAAGCACTTCCGGCATTTTGACCCCATGCTGTGGATGGATCACCTAAGACATTTTGGAATGATGATTCCCCATGTTTTTTTGAATACCAACGGATGGACGAAATCCTGAACCACCGAAGACACCTGGAATGGTTCGATTCCCCCGAATATAAATACCGACGAACGGTACGGTTGCAAGTATGGATTCATTTCGTGGTGCGATTTGGGTTCTGTCCATCCACAGGATCCAAACCCCCCCCATCCCCCCCCCCCATGTCCCCCAAGCCCGCCGGCTTGCCTTCAGTCTCTGTTCCAAATGGAGGTTGGCCAATCTCAATGGACAATCTCCATTGGAAAACCACCAAAAGGGAGACCCTCCGAAAAGATTGGAGAAAAACAACATGAAAATGGGAAAGCCGCTTAAACAATCGGAGAAAACAAAGACACAAACACGGACCACCTGCCTTTGGCGCCAGCGAGGAATCTCTTCCACTTGGCCCAGTCGCTGGGCCTTTGCCTGAGATTCCTGAGATTCTGGGTGAGCTTCCTGATGGGGGAGTTGATGCATGGGGGTCGAGCCCCTCCAATACTTGGTTCCCAGCCATCCCCGTAGTTTGTTGTTTTTAGTTTGTTGGGGGCTGTGGGGGCTTAAAGTCCCAAAATCCAATTCTTATGACGTAGAAGGTAAGGTTTTTAAGGGAAACCCGTAGGTTCTTAAGGGTTTAGTGGGGGCGGGGTCCATTTCACGCGCGAAATGTTAAACTTAATCGCAGGGGATTCTGAGGATTCACAGGGAAATTTCATAGTGCTTTTTGAAAGGGTGCCCGTTGTGTTTGGCGTGAAAGGGAAGGGTACCGCCAATGTTTGCTAGGTTCCCCCACCAAATGGACAACCCATTTGGTGTACCCAGCGGAGAAACAAATATAGGCTCCCTGCCTTTTGACCGCGGTTGAGCCCTCTGGGTTGCAAACAAAGTTTGGCAACCACACGTCCCAGTTGCCCAGTGGATTCCATTTTTCAACTTTTTCTTGGGAAGGGTTTCCCCTTAAACTCAAGCAACCAGAAAAGGATGCCGATTCTTGTTTTCGCTCCGGGAAAAAGCTAGTAAGCCCATGAAGGTTGCTCTGCCTCCCACCAATCAGGCACCCGACTTGTCTGTCCCTCGAGGAATTTGATTATCAAGGTGCCAACCCACAGGTGCCTCGTTGGAGGAAGAGAACTTGCAGCTCACTCCCTGGCTTCATGGACTTTTGTTGCTTTGGGAAAGCCATTTCAGTGGCTAAGCACCACAACATGTTGACTTCTGAGCGTTTTTTGGATTCGTTTTGGGAGCAGGCGGATCGGCGCTGATCTTGGAGGTGGGCTTCAACGCGGGGCATTCCGTGTGCCTCATGCTGCTGCTCGGCTGATCGGCCCTGATCGGAGAAAACCGCGAGAGAGGGCGAGAGACGCGGCGATTTCGGGCGATGGAGGGCGATTTGGACATAAGACAGGAGCCCAGCAACTGAGCGTCTTTATCGGAACTCGTGTGAAGTCTCGAAGGTACAAACAAGTTAACGCATGTTGCACGGGCAATGAACCACAGGAACGGAAGCCAACATGTAGTTCCATGGCATCCTCTAAATGCTTTGTGTGGTTTGGCTCAAGGCTTTGCAGTTCATTAAAATAAGAAGAACAAAACGGAAAAAAGAAGAAGAAAATATCAACCCAGTTCAAAATAAAAGCAACACAAAGAATTAAAAAGGAAAAAACAGAAAGGGGGACAAAAATGGATCAACCGCAAGCAAGAACAGTTTCGACTTTCGCTCCTTTGGCCTCTCGGCTTCGCGGCCTTAGGCTCGCCAACGCGTCGGCGAAGGTTGTGGCCTTCGACCTCTGCGAGCATCGCTACACCAAGCCCTGTGTGGAGGTCGCTCGCGTCGCTCGCGCCGCTCGAGTCGATCGGATCCAGTCGGATCCAGTCGGATCCAGTCGGATCCAGTCGGATCGACTAAAAATCGCATAAGGGAACAGATCTTTGTTCTTTTCCCCCTGTTCTAAAGTTGGGATCGGTTTCGCTGCTGGGTTGTCTGCTCTCATTTCTTCGGGGCGAAAAAGCAACTGGAAGTCTCCGGATCGGATCCTCCACAAAAAGGCCTGGAAACGGGGACGCCCCCCCTTTTTGTGGCTTGAGGGAAACCAAGGTGAAGGAGGTCAAGGCAACCGGCTGTGTCTTTTTCAGTTGGTACCCTTTCAAGGGAAACCGGCTTATGTTTGGTCCCAGTTTTGAGACAAATCCAAGTAGCCCTTACATTGTTCCGCCCTCCTTACGTTTTTCATGGAGCATAACCTTGAGGTCCCTACTCCCATGGAGCATGTCCTTGAGGTCTCTACAAACCTGGGTTTAATTGGCTTCATTGTTGTGGGCAGTTTGTTGATGCTTTCCCATATGCTACCATACCAAGGGTTCGGACACTTGAAACATGGGGTCTTCATGTGTTTCATACAGACCGGTCGTTTCGAAGAAGGATCAAAGGAGTGTAGGAAGCACCCAACCGGGCTTGATGTGTATGGATGAATCAGTGACCCCCCCCCCCGCCACTCCGAGAAGGCCTCCAATGTTGGGACCAACCAAGACATGTGGTTGTCCGGCCAGACGAATTATCATCCCTTGTGTCGTTGTTGAATTCTTTCATGCTAGTGAGTTGTTCACGCCTTTTTTGGGTCGGTGTTACGGGAAGCCGTCCATGTTTGTAGATTTCCCTATTTGGAGACAAGCCCCCTTGCGCAGCCCCCGCCAGAATCATTGTTGGTCATTTGAATTGCTTTTGTTTGCTACAATCTGGTTCTGATGGGCTTTAAGGTAGAGCCTATACTTACTCCCCGAGTTTATGCACTTGCTACTGTCAATCAAAAACTCTTTTAATGAAAGCAAGAACAGATCAGACCTGCTCCCGCAATCCACTCGATTGGAAGTGAGCGAGTACTAGGGGCTATAAAATCTCCAAACAAGGGAACACCTTCTGGGTTGCCCAAAGCGAATCGACCGGATCTGACATTACACGGTTTCCTTGATGTGGGTTTCCAGTTTGTAGTGGCGCCAACGGTGATCGCTGGATATGTTTCCCGGTCCCCCAAAGGGGGCTAGTGAGCCTGTGATTGAAACAAGTTCCTAAATTCAGGGAGCCAACAACACCTTCTTTGTTCCTGGATCAAGTGTTTTTTGTTCTGTAACCATTTTCAGGTTTGGGCGCTGCACAAAAACAAGCAGAAGTCGATTGTTTCGAGCCCAGACCCTTTGGGTTGAGAAAAAACAAAAAAAAACACGTCAACCTCTCTTTCTAGGTCCCTGAGTAGTGCCCTTTGACCCTTTTTTTGGGGGAGGGTTCCCCTAAAGGGTACCAACTTATTCTAAGCTCTCTACAGGACCTAGAAAGGAAGACCTGCCAATCCTCTGCGAGAAATCATGAGAAATCCCATGTTGCGAATGGGCACCTCTCACTTGCAACCCTTCGCATCGACCTGAGCCGGTTTGAGCCCGATTTCGGGTTCGGAAAGGCGAGACTTTGGGCCAAGGCAGGGCTTTTTGTGTTTGGGGTTGCAAGTGTTCAACCGGAGTTTCCTTTTGTCATCGACCGTTTGGGTTGAGAAAAAAACAACACCTCCCTAAGTGTCCTTTTTGCTTGTTTGGCTAGCAAAATAGATGGCCCTGGTCTAGTTGGTGGTTTAATCATCTACCAGGGCCATCTAGTTCCCCTAAAAGGACACCTGTGAACACCTCCCTTTCCGAGCCTCGGGGGCTTCGGAGCGCAAGGTGCTCCGGCGCTTCTTTGGACCGCGTGGGGGCGCCCGGGGCATTGTCAGCTGCTTCTTTTTGCACGCGCAAACTAGGTCTCTGTGTTTTGTTTTGTGTTTTGTTTGTTTTGTTTTTTTTTTTTGGGGGGGGGCTTAAAGGAAACCCACAAGGAAAACGACACTTATTGCGTTTTGTGGGGCGGGGGGGTTGGCTTAAAGAGAACCCAAAAGGTGGGGGGGGAAGGGACATACCCAAATAGTCCATATCCTACCTTTCACGAACATGGCACCAGGGCGCTTGGAGTGATTTTATTAAAATATGACAGCGGAGGCAGTGCGTGTTCTCAACGCCAAACAGGCATGGGTATCTTGGCGCTTCCCAGCGATGCGTCCGATTCCTTCGGTTTCTAGGCTTTTCGTTGGGTGAGTGGTCGGGCTTCCAAATTCCACCCACAAGTAGTTTCACTTTTAGCAAATCAGAGAATGGATACGTGTTTCCTTTTTTTCCCCGGACTTTCTGTGAATCACACCCGGGGTATAGGTGTTTCCTGTTTTTTTCTCCGGACTTTCTGTGAATGCCCCCCAGACCAGGATACGTGTTTCCTTTTTGTTCGGACTTTCTGTGAATGCCCCCCGGACTGGAACAAGAGCTCCCCAAAGGTAACGGAAATGTCACGGTCGTTCCGGCCTCTGAACTTAGAGGCTCCCACCGTTCCCGGTATCGTCCACCAGGAAGACCCGGCTCCATGGCTTCGCTTGACTCAATGGAGCGCAGTTCTGGGGTCACCTCGTGATGTTCTGGAGGCGCCGAAGTTGAGGTTTTTTTTGCGGATCAAGACGGGTGGACCATTTCCCTGTTCGGCCCCCAATCCTAAAATAGACAAAACCGAAAAAAGTTGGTACCAACTTGTTCCAACCTCTCTACTCGAGGACCTAGCAAAACCCGTTGAGCATCGGTCGCAGTTCTGCAGATCGGTCGCGGCGAAGGCCTGGAGCTGGTGGAGGGCTCAAGTACCAACACCTTGCCTGGGTGCCCAGAGTGGGAATGGGAAGTGACTCCGAAGGAACATGCCCCGTGTCTTCCATTTGCTGATGGACATTTTTGTTTTTTTTTTGTATTTGCTGTTTTCCCTTGTCGGGTTTAAAGGGAATCTCTACGGGACATGTTTTCTCACTTTTGCCGGGCGGCAGACAAGCAAATGGCAGGTATCTATGATGTCCACCATCAAACCATTGCCCCAATAATCAAAATGGATGTTTTCCCTCTAGTTGTGTTTTTGTCAGTGGGTGTTTTCCTTGGTGTGGTTTGGGTGTAGGAGACACCATCTCAGATTGAGTGGGGGTGCCTGCTGTTTTTGAGGATACCCCCTTTGGAGTGGCAAGGCGAAGCCAAAATGAAGCCAGTCCCATTTTCAGGCGGTCCCAAAAAGCTTACTCACGCATTTTGCCGGTCCTGTTTCTTTGGTGCATTTTGCCAAGGGATGTTAGGACTTTAACTTGTTGCCAACCAGTGGGGTTTCCGTATTAAACCACTAAAAGTTTAACTTTTAGCAGGGGAGCAGATAGCAACCGAGGTTTGTTTCCCTTAAACCCCCCCTCCACTTGTTAAGTGGCACCAATTCCAACCCCTGGCGATTGAACTGATGGGTTATTGTTTTCCTGTTTTAATCATGATACCATGGTATTAAAGGTGAAATATATTTATAGGGTACATGTTAGTTTTTGCAAACTTCTTTTTTTGGTGGACCTCCTTTTAGAATCAACCGGGCCCGTCCTTCTCGTCCTTGCTCTTTTTGATAAGTAGGACCTCCAAAATGGCAGGTATCTAAGATGGTTTCCACTACCCGGGGGTAGTGGACACCATGTAAGGAGGTATTCCCTTTGCTTTCCCTTCAAACCCCCAAAAGGGTACGGTGGCGCCGTGCCCTCAAAAGCAAGGACACAGTGGGAGACCGCTTCCTAGACTGAGGCCGGAGTATCGGCAGAGGAAGCTGGGCTTTGACCTCTTTCACATCGACGGTGGACACCAGTGCTCTCAGCCCATCCCCACAACCCTGAGGGGATGCAACAGGTTCTTTATGTTCTCCATGGCGAAATCCGCCCTAAGAATCTTGTTACGGCCAGTGTTCAGGTCCAAACCCGAGATCCACACCCCTACAATGTTTGGTTTTGGAGAATGAGCGCTCCATGGGACAGGTTCCTCAAAGCATGCATCCAGAAGCCAGGTCACATAAAACATATATTTTTTCAGCAGTTTTTGTTGCTTTGAGGTGCCCTGTTGACACTTCGGGTTTCCCTTTTTGTCCATCTTAGAGTCAGGATCTCAGAGCTTAAGTGTGTCTTTCCATTTGTCGTTGGCAGGTACCATCAAGCCCTGGCGGACTTGCGAAATTGCCCGCGGCCTGGCGACTCGCGCGACAAGCGTGTGTGGGGCCATGTGTGGCTGTTAGGGACGAGGACATGAGTTCAGATCGAGGATTCGCCAAACGAGCAAGGCAAAGAGGTGTCCCTTTGTGGCCACCGAACTTGAATGAGTTCTTAACAACAGGGGAAAAAAGAAAACATCAACCTAAGCACGACATGCATGGACGATTGCTGTCCTACTGTTTGCATTTGCCAGGCGAGTGCTTGCACGCCAGACTTACCGCTGCTATCATGGCAGACAAGTGTGGAAACTAACCTGCAAAGAGTTAAATCTCAGACTGGTATCTCTACCAACCCTAGCGATGCCAGGGTGAGTGATTGTGTGTGTGTGATTTAAAAAACAGCTTTTTGCGCAGGGGGTAAGGGCCATCAAGTTAGTTAAGGCTCGTTTCCTGAGTTCATGGACGTTATTTTTTGGGGGAAGACCATTTTAGTGACAAGCGAAAAGTGCAGGCGTTTTTTTTTTTTTTTCCGGCCCGTCCACTCAGGAAGTGAGAAGGTCAGTAAATCACAGGAGCATCTTGTGCGGCGTTCTCGCTCCAGCTACCTGCCAGTACTCTGACACCAGCTCAGAGGCTGCAGAGGTCTGCGACCCAGGGAGGTGACGAACATCCCAATGTCCTCTCATCAGGTTTCATTCGTTTGGTGAATTGGCACCATCAACAGACACGGCACCTTTCTGAAATCAACGGGTTTCTTTCTGGTGAATTGATAGCATCCATGCCCATGTTGCGCAATTCTTCTTTCAGTTTTGGGACTGACCCAGACCTGGCCGGTCCGACGCCATGACCGCTCTTCTTCTGGCGCTCGCGCTGGCGGTTTCGGCGCAGTCGGCGGCGGTGCGCCCGCGGAACGTGCGGAGTTTGCGGGACGCACGGGAGGCGGGGTCCGCACTGAAAACGCCGGTGGGATCTTTATGCCTTTCATGCGGGGAACTCTCTGGTTTGGTTGGCTGGTTTTGTCTTGGAGGAAACCGAAGGGACATATGGGCCTCATATGATTTCACTTCCCGAGTTTCCGGACTGGGGAGACAAACTAACTGAGTCCCACTCAGGAAGTGAAAGAGTCATGAAGGGGATGTTTTCTTTGCTTTGCTTTGCCTTTCGGATGCATTTTGCACATCGCCTGGGCAACTGAGGGCGTTCCACTCAAAAGATTTCCAAAAGGGGTGCCCTCAGAAACGCACTCGCTTTGGGGAACTGAGAGGAGGTTGTTTCAATGGTGATTCCGCGTCGGGCAATTACTGTTGACCCTGGATGAATAAAGCCCGGGGCGTAACTATGGGGCTTTATGGCAAAGTGAAGGATCCTCTTCCTGAAAATGGGGGACACCACCCCCTATCCCCTACACCCAATACCCACGTTTTTCAGGGTATGATGTCGACCCTCTACTAAAAAAGGAGGTATACTTACCATGAAAAACCAGGTTTTCCCAAAAATACACTGAAAAAAACGGGTATTTGGAGTAGGGGGTATCAAGATCACCCCGAGGTTTGTTATCCTGAACCTTCCGTGGACTGGTCCCATAGAGGGACTGCGGGAAACACGCGGACGTTCGACAGGTGCTGCAGGAGTTGCGGGAAGAAGCTCTCAAGGCGGGAAGCTTTGGAGGGGGCACCCTTCGGTTGCGAATCGTCCGGTTCAACTTAGGTTTTTAGATGCTTTTAGTTGGTTTGGTGGATGGGTTTCCGAATTTCACCCACAAGTTAGTCACTTTTAGCAGGGCATCAGAAAACGGACAGCCCAAATTATATTTTGTTTAAACACATCCACTGGGCGGGAAAGCCCAAGTTTCAGACTTTGAATATTAATTTCTTGTCTTCCATCAGTGGTGCTTACCAAAACAAAGGTCTAACCACTTGCTAGCTGGATGTTTTTTTCGGCCCAGCGGACAAGTCTGACGGCCAGTGCCGAAGTTAGAGGGCTGGTCGCTCTCTCTTCTTATGAGGATGGAGGGGATCCATTCTCGCTAAAAGCACCAAGTAGTTAGCCAAGCAATAGAAATCCTCATTTTTTTCAAGTCCCGTAGCTCCACTGGCCACTGGATATTCAACTCACCGAGTGTTACCACTAAAATTAACTAAACATCTAAGAAACTCACTTCCTGAGTGGATCGGCCACAAAAGTCCACACCTTTTTTAGTGCCACCAAAATGGCATTCCCAAAAACTACAAAATCCAGAGATTTCGGTGTTGGGAAATACGGAAAAAAGTGCTCTTTCTCCAAAAAACAAAACTCAACATCATGTCGAATTTTAATACCACAACTACATTGAGACATATTTGTATCGAACTTGAGTGCTTGACACCTGTTTGGGTGTCCATTTTTAATTTTGTCGTCTTTTCAAAGAACCAGAAGGAAATCCGAAATCCACTTTGGGGTGTAAACACAGACGCACCCGTGTATAGCAATGGAGTGTCTATTCCGTATTCAAGTGGGACCGAAGTTGTTTCCCCACCATCAGGAGCTCATCCAGCAAAATAGGAGCCATTAGGAGCCTTATGAGACCTTCTTGAAGCCTTACTTGGGATTGTTTTTTGAAGGTACCCTTTCAGGCTGCTTTAAACGGATATCACCCCACCCCGCCCGCCACCCCAAAAAACACACAAGGGCAGGGCTATTTGACGCATACCCGTTTGGAGGAAGCCAGATTGACTCCAATGTCAAGGCAGTTGCGTTTTTTGGGGGTGCCGACGTCCCAAGTGACCAATGCTTCCAGGCAAGCCACGCTAGCCCAGAAATACCCGATGGCAAAAAAACACGGCCTGCTATAGTGGCGAAACGCCTGGAAGCACTGGGAACAATATAAGCTACTTGCATCGGTCTGGGGTACAACTAGATGGTGCAGTTCTCATGCGACAAGGCCAACCAGAGCCTGGGACGGCGTTTGACGGCACAGCCCAAGAGAGGCTTGTCGCCCAAGCCCTTCCTTACCCAGGCGGGTCGGTTTTCATAGAAGCTGGCGGGTGGGGGGGGGGGGTTGGGGGGGTTCAGGGGTGGGGGGGGTGGGGGAGGGGCGGGGTGGGGGAGGGGGGGATTTCGACCCCTCAAAATCTCCATTTGTGGCAACCCATTTTCCCTTTCATGGGGACGACTAGAGAAATAGAATTGGGGACCCCCCACCCTCCTAAAATGTATGGGGGTCAGTCTTCAGAGAAGCCCCAGAAGAGGTGGCCGCGTGTTGGCCGGGGGGTGGTTGGGAGTGCCCTTGTCGCCTGTGGTGGCTGGGATGTCTAGTGGCTCCATGTGTGGCGTTTGGCTCCCTTGCCAGATAGCTATTTTCCAAACTCAACCCAACTAAAGGCGGGGGGGCGGGGGTTATCAGTTGAGCTCTTCTCCAAGAAGCCAACTCCAGGAAATTCTCCAAGACCCTACCAGGAGTTTGGGCGAACTTGCTGGAGATGGCTTATTAGACTTCCTTCCATTTGCTTAAGAATATGTTTATATTTTCCCCTGTTGGTTTTTAAAGGGAGAATCGCTACTGGATATCTTGTGGTTTTTTTCTTCAGGGGGCGAAAAAGCAAATGGCAGCTTCCACTTCGGGTTTTGGGTTTCGCCAGGTGTCCGAAAAATACGGATCACCGCAGCGGCAGAGCCCGCAGCGGTACCAGCGCGGCACCCCTGAGCGGCGCTTGGCCGGGGAGACGACCTTGTCGCAGGCCAACACCCAGCGCATCCGCCCCTTAGCGCTTATAAACGTCCATGGCCCACGTCCTGAAGAACTTCCCCAGAATTAGTGCCCCTTTTATTTGTTTGCTGTTTTGGGGTCCCCTTTGTTTTCCGCTAACCATGCGAAAAAGACATTGTTTTTCTGCTGGGTCCTAATTTCAGCCTAGAAGATGGCTTTTGGGGGGTTAAACGGGGTCTAAGTACCTCCTTACAAGGTACTTGGACCCTGGGGCAAATTGTAGCAACGCCACATTCCGGGAGTGCGACGCCACCCATGGTGAAGCTTCTTTTCGGAGAGATCCCCTAGTTGGGTAGTTTGCCCATATTTGTTGTTGCTTTGTTCGTGTGTGTATTTTGATTGTGGCGGGGTGCAGTTTTTATTCGGGTTGGTTTCAGCATGTTTAAGCGTGTTTGGAGCATTAGTCACCGTTTTAGTTGTAGACCACAGGTTTGGATTTGTTCTAGTCAATCCACTCAAGAAGTGGGTAGATGTCAATTTGTTGCAAATAGTCCACCCCACCCCTTTCCCACACACGGTTGGGGTCTGGGAGATGTTGAGGTGTGCATTTCAACTTCGACACCCTCTACGAGGATAAGGTGAACGCGAACCCCCTCGTAAAGGACCGCTACTGCTTCAACGCGGCCTCAGCTGCAGTAGTGTACTGTCTGTGTCAGCTACTCAGAGTCACCAACTGACTCAGAGCCATACGGCGGATGCCCTAAATATTGCATGTATTGGAGCAAGGAGTAATAAACCCGTCCCACTATTAGGGGGGTGTTCCCTCCAAAAGTGATGAATCCCCACTAGAAGGGGACGCCTCCCCATTAATTACCATGGTTTCCACAATTCACTGAATATTGAAAGTGATGGAGCACCGGGCCCATCCAACTTATTATGATTTATCATGGCTTTGTGGTTGAGTATGGCTGGTGTACTCGCAATATTTGGAACATCCTCTGTAGCAAGGGCAGGCATAGAAACCCAACAATGACGATTGGGGACGATCAGTGTTGACGACATCAAGGACCACTAAGGGCAAGACCTATCCATCACTTCCCTTGCTACTGTGGATGGTTGTGAAATCCTTTGAGGCACCACCTGAGAAAGCCTGGAATGAGCGGATTTCCGATCGGAAATGCAATACAAACGCTATGGTTTCAACCGTGGTTTCAAAGTGGTGCGAAATGGATTCCGTCTCTCCACAGTATGGCTCTAAATCGGTAGAGAGAAACTCGGATCAACCTTTTGACCTTTTGGATTTCCGGCTTTGGCCGATTCTTAGTCAGGCCTGGGCATATTG